CATTCCATGATGATTTTACGATTACTCGATGAATATTACCAGCCACAGTTATCAAAGTCATCCAAATAAGTATAGCCAATATGTTCTCACAGTGGTTTTTGCCTTAAAAAAGGTCTTAGAATCTTGCCAGTTTTATTCAGTTCACTAATCTGTGTAATCATAGGGCCTCTGGGAAAGAAGGGCTAGAGCCTCTCCTGTCCAATGGTACTTATCACAAGCTCTCATTTTGTTCGATTTTTTTAATGAAAAAAAGATTATTACATTCTGAGAATTCGTAAATTTTCTGCAGTTGAACCAGAAGCTTATGAGGAGCATAAGGTAAGTTACATGTGTTGCTTTTCAAATGTCATATTGAACTCTAATGTCCGACGAAATTGGCAGTATACACGTATATCAGATTGTCCACACCTTAATAACTCAAACTGAAGATTAATGCATTTGTGGATTCGTGCAGTGCAAATTACATCCCACTCTTGCTAAAAGAGCAGAACATTATTTCTCAGAGAATAGGCGAGTCTTGAAAGGTACGATTCTTGCACTAAAACATCTCACCTCGATTGTTTGGTATTCATTTTTTCTCGTTCTCTATTCGACACTTTCGATTTGCTACTGTTTTTATAACTCAAGGGATCGAGCTTTGGGCTTCCGGAAATATAGACGAACTTGGGAAGCTAATATCGGCGTCCGGTTTGAGCTCCATCCAGAATTATGAGAGCGGTACCTGTTTCCTATTCCTTCCATGTACATATATGTCTACTAACAGTGATTCACAATGCAAAATAGTACGAAAATTTACCCTCAAATCAATACGTCTACAAACTAACTATTCTTGTAGGTCATTTATGTTAAAAAGTCGAAATAGTTCTGTGATCAAATCTACTCTCCAGTAACGAGAAAACTCATTTCCTCAAAATTATACTCCAGATGTTGTTTGTTTGGAAAAATTTTGCTTTCGAGACAAGTTAGTTGTAAGAAGCATTACTAATTAGTTTCTTGTTATGTTTGTTATGTTTGTAATGTAATCAGAATATATTTGTAACTCAGATTAAAACCTCTGGAACGAAAAAGAGGGAACCAAAACTATATCGTGTCTAACAATAATATGTCTGAACAGGGTGCGAGCCACTTATTCAACTGTACGAGATTCTTGTGAAAGCTCCGGGCATTTATGGTGCCCGGTTTAGTGGTGCAGGCTTTCGAGGTTGCTGTATTGCTTTCGTTGATGCTGATCGGGCTTTAGAAGCCGCGTCATATGTTAGGGAAGAATATCCAAAGCTCCAACCCGAATTGGCAAGCCAGATGGGTAAGGATAAGTTGGTACTGATATGCGACACGGCTGATTGTGCTCGTGTAATTTGAACATCTACAAGTCCATTTTTTTTTAAAAAAAAAAAAAAAATTCTTTTTCAGTGTTCTGTTGATAAATTTGATCTTCATCATTCCTACTGGGATTTGTTATTGCAATGTACTGCACAGTACATATCTTTTGTTGTTGATATAAAAACTCAGCCTATAAAAGATTCTGGTTTTGATTGCACAAAATCAATACAACTGACAATGGCACAACAACAAAGCCTAAGCAATGTTCTGAAAGTCGCTATGCGCTAGGTTATTGATAAATATATTTATATTTGTCATCATATATAATTTATAAAATATATTATGTAAAATATATTAATTCTTACGGCCGAATACAAAGATTACTGCAAAATCTAAAATCATAATTATTATATTATTTATGAAATTATTACTAAAAATAATATAAATGAGCGCCTAGGCATCACCTAATCGTTGGAGCACCTAGAATGACATCCTAAGCAAAAGTCGTGGAGCCTAGAGTACAGCGTATACAGAGATTTACACCGTACTTATAACATAATAAATTTGAAAGAAAAAAGGCGATAGAATAAAATCTGCAAATTTGTCTAAAGTTGTCGAAACATTCAAGATACAAGGATAACGAACACATAACGTTGAAAGCAACAAATCCACTTTGTCTAACAGACCTCACTGTCTCAAACATTATAAGAATAATACGCAGACTAACTTAGGCAAATCTGACACAATATGCAAGCCATGGTAGAGCATGCAGAGAGAGAGAGAGAGCAGGATCAGGCAGGCACCTCAAGGTTTGGGCTTCAGGTTAGAGCCGGGCTTGCGCTGGATATTCAAGAAATGCTCGACCTGAAAATGCATGGGAGTTTAAGAGATGTATGGTTTGCCAAACACAAGATTAAATAAATACCAACACACAAGACCTTTTTGTCACCGAGCATAGGGGTCAAGCCTCCGGCAAGGTCCTTCTCTACAGTAGCAAAACCACTTCTTGGATCACTTGTTTGCCTGCACACAAAAAGGTGAAGCAAGTCGTTTCATTTTATTTTCACGTGAATTTCATGTTTAAGACAATTAAAATAAGAAGCATGAACAGAAAGGACATAATTCTTGGGTGCATATGGGTGTGATTTTCCAACCGAATATGAATAAGAAGCAAGCATATATGCATGAAAAATCGTACTTAGATATCACGCAATCAGTCAGCCAAAATTTTTGTCTAATTGGCATCTTGAGTTAAAAAGCCTGGCTATGGCAAGACAATCCTAAGATTCTACATGATTGATGAAGTCGAGCATATACACAGAAAAGAAAGACATAAATGTTTATGCAAGAGAAAAACAACCATACCCTGGTTTAACATGGCCACTTAGAACAAGATATGGAGTTTGTAACTTGGCTTGAGCTTCCCTCATTCTTTCAACCGATTGTGATGGTGTATCTGAATTTTTCATTCGCTTCACCCTCAGTTCCTCCTCATATTGCCTCATGCGCTTTTCTTGCTTCATTTTTCCAGGCTCCTTCCCATGGAACTTGTGTGAAAGCTGTCGAAAAGCTTCTTTTGGCGTCAGCTGTTAAGATGACAAAAGAAATTCCATATTAGATCCATACCTTCCAAATATACCACCTACTAAAGAATGCAAATGCAACATACCATCGAGAATAAAACAAGAACAAACATGCAAACACCAAGATATACGACTAGGTCAATGAAATCATAAAATAATGAACACTTACAATCCGCCCATATTCATCGGTCCTTTCGATGCGTATTTCCTTTTCTTCACCATTGTTAATGCCAACAAGTTTGCTTTTCTTCTTGTCCATGTTTCGACCACCCCACTCAACAGTTTCCTTCAGTACTCCCCGGTCTTGCAGAAGCTTGAGAGTGGCAGCAATACCTTTGCCGACAGCAGGTTCATGGATTGTCTCGTCAGGAACCACCTCCTTTTCTTCCTCTTTTAAGGGAATTTTGTCCTTTTCGGTTTCTTTTACTTGGCTCCAACCACCATCTACGTCCTCCATTTCCTGATCAGAGGTGGTGCTTGGTCTCACATCTTCCTCCATGAATACATCTTCACCCTCTGGGTTTTTCTCATCTGAGGGTACATGCAGAAATTATAAAGTGATTACGCATTTGGTCAAACAAGAAAAGAAACCAAAATTATAGCGACTACAAGACAATAACACAGGTAAGACAATATGGAACTGTATGTACCCCAGGCAATATTCAGTGACAAAAAAACTGATATTGCAGGAAGAAATGAACATTCAAAGATCTCTAATTTGAGCACATAGCGAACTGAAAAGAAAGCAAGATGACTTTCAATGTGATAACGATCATAAGAATGCTGAGTGAGTTGCAACATTACTCTAGAGAAATATCAATATTGTCTACGATCATGTCAATAACATTTCCCTCCTTGTGATATCCACTGTTGGGGGGGACAGAAGAGAAAACTTTAAATAAAGGAAGTAATAACCATACCGTCGTCAAGTTGCAAACCCCAGACAAATTCTTCCATCTCCGTAAATACAACCTTGTTCTCTGGTTGGTCACCAGAGCCTACATCTGGATTGTCCTTCGTTGAATAATTAGCAGTGGTAGAAGCAAGCCTTATTAGAACATTTGGTCCAGATTTTTCTTCTTCTTTTTGCTTTTTCAAAGCTATTTTTCTTGCTGTTTCCAATGATTTACGAAGTTCCTCATCATCATCACCGAAAACAAGAATATCCTCTTCCTCTATCGGAATTCCAGATGCTTGTTCTTGTCTGAGCAATTTAGATGCTTCTTCTGCTTTAGCATATGCCGACTGGTACGCATTTGCTCTCATTTCCGCCTCAATCCTGTCTTGTTCCTCCCTACGATTTCGCCTTTTCCCATCATTTCTTGAACCGAGATCCTCCGAGCCCAATCCCACAGATTTGGCCTCTGCTTCCAGGGCATCTAAGTCCAACTTCTCCTTCTTCCGCAATGATTTCTTTTTCTTTGGTTTTTTA